GGATGAATGAAGGGAGGGGGGCTGCACAATGGAAAGTGGAGCTTTATGAGGAGGAGGCTCTTGAGCTAGATGATGCAAGTGGGTTCATCCAACTGATGTGCACCCGATTTAGCGATGTGGCCCAACACGTGGACACAGAAGAGCAGATCCAGGGATTGTGACAGTCTGGTCGCCCCGTGAAGAAGTTAGTTTGGGAGTTCTGGAGAATAGTTGGAAGACTATGATACTGGCCAGAAAGATTCTTGATCTACATGTTCAAAAATGCCTTAGATCCCAAACTGAGAGAAGATTGCGGCATAAGGGGGTTCCCAGAATGTATCCAAGATTGATACACCACTGCAATCATATTGGACCATGAGATTAACCCTCACTGGAAGTCTGCTGCTAGAACTCCTGCTAGGAAACCACTGAATGCAGATGCAGTGAGCTGAGAAGCCTCCACCCCCCATCCCTTGGGGGCCCCAATAAAATGATACCGATGTGATCAGCTTGGCCACAGAGCATCAGAATGCCTGGCTCCAGCCCCTGTTCCTCAATTGCACCAACCACCCGTCACCACAATGAAAAAACCCCAAAAGCCACCAGAAAAAGAGTCATCTGGTACATCAGCCAATGGAGTCAGAGAGTCCTGTCATTGGGGAAGCCCCTGCCACTACAGAGGAGGAGGAAAATGCCAAAGACAAGCCAATGGTGAGTGCACCCATCCACCCCTTTATGATAAAATTCATCTCCAAGTGCCAGAAACGGGGTGGAAGGGGAAGTTGGGGCAATTGTGGACACCAAATATATACACAGCATATATTTGGCACAGCAGGAGCTTTGACGATGCCAAGGACTTGGATTGTCAGTGAAGTCAGTGGAGCCTTTCACTGGTGCCACTTTCTTCTTCTTCTTCAACCTGCAACAAAATTGTATGGAAAAACATATTTTCTTCTTCTTCTCCGATATACAGATTTTAACTGCATGGCTTAGTAAGACCACATTTGGAATGTTGCATCCAGTTTTGGTCAGCACAATATAAGAAAGTTGTTGAGACTCTGGAAAGAGTGCATAGAAGAATGAAGGGTGGGCTGAAGGCTAAAAACATATGGAGAACAATTGCAGGAACTGGGCATGGCTAGTCTAGTGAAGAGAAGGACCAGGGGAGACATGATAGCAGTCTTTCAATATCTCAGGGGCTTCCACAAAGAGAGGGGGAGGAGTCAAGCTATTCTCCAAAGCACCTGAAGAAACAACAGATGGAAATTAATCAAGGAGAGAAGCAAACTGAAACTAAGGAGAAATTTTCTGACAGTTACAACAATTAATCAGTGAAACAACTTGTCTCCAGAAGTTGTGAATATTCCAACACTGGAAGTTTTAAAGAAGAGATTGGACAACCATTTGTCTGAAATGGTGTAGGGTGTCTTGCCTGAGCAGAGGATAGGACTAGAAGACCTCCAAGGTCCCTTCCAACTCTGTATTTAAGACTCCACTCTAAGTCAACCACTTCTACTAATGCTTTTCCAACAGAACTGCCCCATTTGTAGTGGTTTAGCATTAGAGAACCTTTTGAGCCCTTTCTGTAAAATACCTTAAATTTCTACTTCCAGGCCCAATTAATAAAATAAATTGAATAATTCCCTAAGTAGGATTTTAATAAAAACTATTCATAGCTGGTTTTCTGACACAGACATTTGTGGGTGGGAAGTTGGAACGACTACTGTTCTTTCAATGTGTTGGGCTATAATCTCCCTTTTGCTGATATGTATGGGGAAGAAGCATTTTTTTAAAAAAA